ATGATCCCTTCTTTTTACAGTTTAAAAATTACAGCTGGAACTTTTATTCCCCTTATTTTCGTAATTTAAATGTGACTAATGAGGTAAACTCTTCTGGAGTTAGAGGTAAAGTTTGTATCTTTGAGTTTTACAGGCAATGGGACCCTGGAGTGGATGGCATCATTAGAGGAGAAAATGAACTTCAAAGCATTATTGAAGTGCTCAATATGGCCTAAAATTTCTTCCAAAATCACAACACTGTCTGGGAATTGTCTAATCCCAGTTTAGATTTGTGATGGCTTTTTTTCCTTTGAGAGGAAGCCCAAAAAGGGGAGTATCCAAGTGCATCGGGTTATTCTTGCTCTGAAATTAAGAGCTGCAGGAAATCAACAGACACCATTCACTCTCTGTCCTGTTTATTCCCAATCATCTATTCCCCTTAATGGATGGGAAACAGGAAACAGGAGGTTTTGACCAACCATGCAAAGTCAGTGCCTGTCAAAGCAATCAGAACCATCTAAAGGTTTTTTTTTTCCATAGCCATTAGAATCATGAGAAGTATCTGAGGTCTTTTGTTGATTGTTGCTTGTTTTGTTTTGTGTGTCCTGATATCTACTGAAAATTAAATAAGGAGTTCATGGAGAGGTCAGTTCTCTTTCTCCCAGCAGTCATTTAGTTATCTTTAGGTCTTTGTCTAAAGGTGGGACTCTCCTAGATTTTTCTCCTTCCATGTTAGCATGTTCATTCCCTGAGACATAATGCGGGAGCTGTGACATAGAATAACCTGTCCCAGGGATGAGCCCTGTCGCTGAATATCCAAAGGAGAGTGGTCAGCTTTGAAACTTAACGATACAAACAGCAAAAATTAACTCCAGGCTTTATTTACAAAATTGTTTGCATACCCTTATACAAAGGTTTATCTATGTAAATGTGTGCAAAGTCTGAAGTGAGGAGAATGTGAGGAAAAAATAATGTAAGTAGCTCGACTAAAAACACATTTGAAAATTAATAATAAGTAGGAAAAGAATACATCAGTTTCTCTGAAAATATTTCTAGATTCAGTCACAGTGTGTTGCCTGAGACTTGCGGCCTATTCAAAGCCCCTTTACTTTTTTTTTCTTCTTTTTTGAGACAGGGTTTCTCTGTATTGTTTTGGAGGCTGTCCTGGAAATCGCTCTGTAGACCAGGCTAGCATTGAACTCACAGAGATCTGCCTGCCTCTGCCTCCCAAGTGCTGGGATTAAAGGCGTTCACCACCAACGCCTGGCAGCCTCTCTACTCCTAATAATGTTGGAAAAAACAATTGTGAATCCTTAATTTTCCTTCTGCTCCTCCAAATTTTGCTATTTATTTTCTGATTTATGGTTGTTAATTGCTAGGCTCTTGTTAATATTTCATTTTTCAATTGTTGGTATTATTTCCATATAATACCAAGAGTCATTCTCCTTTATGGCTTATTTGAGCATGGAGATACATCCCTTTAAGAGAGGAAGCAGGAAGCAGTACCATTTGCTTGAGTATAAATATGTCTGCACCAAAGCACTCAGATTTGACATTTAAGTTCTGCATTTTGAAAGCTGACCCGAGGACAGAAAAGCTGCCTTAATCTTGTGCTATTTCATAATTTAGATAGCAAAAGGATTTGTCATTTTTTTCTTTAGTGTCCCTTCATCTTTGACATTTCTATCGTTCTGTTCAAGTAACAAAAACACAGCCATGCAAAGCATTTGTACTAACTTGACAACCCCAGCCGTATTTTGGAATATCTGCTACTGTAATTAAATTTGGTGGAGAGCCAAATGAATATTTTGATACTAAAGTAATTAAAAATGATTATCCCCAATAAAAGAAGGGGAAAGAATAATTAGGGTTCTTTCTAGTGAAAGAATTTGTGGAGAATTAATGACTGTTATATGAACCTACATGTTAAGTTGTTTCACTGCAAAATAAAGATAATAAACCACTACTGATACTTGAATGAAAATTACCAAGATTTTAAATTCCCTGATGCTGGGCATTGGTGGCACACGCTTTAAATCCCAGCACTCGGGAGGCAGAGGCAGGCGGATCTCTGTGTGTTCGAGGCCAGGCTGGACCGACAGCCTCCAAAACAGAGAAACCCTGCCTCATAAAACCAAAAAAAATTCCCTGGCAAGTTTCCATTTATCAATTTACAAACAAATGCAATCTTATTTATGAAATTGTATATTTTTTAATAACAAGCATTAATAATACAATACATGGCAGGCAGTGAAATCAATTTTATTAAAATGTTGGGGGACCTATATTTAAAACTTTTATATATTTTGAGTGCTTTGAAAGAAATTATTTGTGGATTTCAATGACAAATTTATCAGTTCTTAAGAGATATATTTTCTGGCATAAAAACAGTGTTTCTTTATGCAGTAGATACGCACTTACGTGGGTGATAAGTGTTTAGAACTTGACATTTTAAAAATCTCAGATAGTTTTTCCATTATATTATAAAATTTCCATTGTTTTTGTTTTATAGTTAATAGATACAAATTTCCTGTGTTAAAATGGTTTCTAGAGCATTAGAGGACAAGATTTAAAGAATCTTTATTTTAGTATGTGGGAAAGTCATACTCTTGTACATACTCTTTTAGACTGGAACACCTTCTACCCAATGACCTGGATGCCACTCCAGGGACGGACTTACTGAGAAGAGTGTCACTATCATCATCAATACATGGGTTATTGGCTACCTTCTGGAGGCTGATATTGATGCTGATGGGTTGAAGTATCATAGCTCTACCTTCCCTGCTGACTAGTGTAGTGATAGAATCCTACAATTAAGGAAGGCATGTGTCAGATTCTTCATCATTGAAAGCAAAGGGCTGCTTACTGTTGTAGATGGTCTGATTATACTGGCAGCCTTAGTTATCATCAGATAATTGCTAGTTAATGATATGGTTAATAGAGATCAATATTCTTGGGGATAAGATAGGTCATCTGGTAAAGACATTTTAATTTTTGAAAGCAAAAGGTCTCAAGGATTAATTATTTGAATACTGAGTATATCTGCTTTAATAAAAAAATGAAGAAAGAACAAAAAAAACCATTGACTAATATTCAGACTGGAATACCTAGACCTAGATGGAACCCACTGACTGAAGAAAGGGTAGGGAATTTTGCAACAAGGATTCTCAGGGAAATGAAAATCACGATCCTCGTGAGAATGAATGTTTGGTATAAGCAACTACTACCAAGTGTGACTGCAGGCAAGATTTACTCACAAAGAGCCTGCACCAACCACAGTTCCTCTTGCTGTGAACTATGCTAATTGCCTGAGACCTGCTTTGGAATGGTTCAGATTCCATAAAGGATGCATGGAGTGGAGTGGGGGCCAGACACAATCTGAGGATGAATCAGGATGCCTGCCAGTGTGTTTATTGCAAAAAGAATACACCTTTTGTACTCAATAGTTTAGCCACAAGCAAAATTGAAAGCAGACGCAATGATTTGGGGACAGAAAGTGGCCATTAACTTCATTGTAGCATTTCCCCTGACAAAAGCGAGAAGTTCAGCAAGTATCTAAATGCCTATTGTTCCCTAAGGTTCAATTACTCCACCAGGGGCCCTTACATCAATGGAAGAGCCACAAATTCCTCCCTCCAGAGAAAAGAAGAATGGGTTTCCACAAGCAGGAGCTTTCCTCTAGCCCCTGAGGGAATGGAGGCTCTTTTCCAAATGCCTTAGAAGAAGGACTTTTGGGGACCAGACACTCCACTATAATTTAAGAGTAGTTTTCATTCCTCAAGGGACATGGTGCAGCATTTGCACTGAAATGTCCCCTACTTGCATCTCTTTGTGTCTTAGTTTTCGTATATGAGCCTGTTCCCCTCCAATGTTCCAAAGGGAAGGTCCTGATATCTTAGTCTTTTCCCATTGTATTGTACTATTCTGATTTCTCAATACTTGTTAACTCAACTCCTCCCCTTAGTAGCCTCAGACTGTGGATCTGGATTGTAAGTGGTTTATCCCTGAGTCAGGTGTGTTCACTTAGTAAAACTCTACCTTTCCTGCTGTAGATATACTCAGGAGGGCACAATGGGGATTCCATGGTGTTGGGGTACAGGGGTTATGTTTTGCCTCTTGGCCTGTTGGTCTTCATTCCGAGGGGAAAGAGGCAGAAGCTGCAACTGCAAGCTCTGTACGTGGCCAAAGAGAATGGATGGTGACAGGGCCTCCTAGAGATGCACTTTGATGAATCAGCTCAACTTGGAGTATAAGGAATATATATCAGATTGGGGGGCCTGGGAGAAACCCTAATTAACATGAAATGGCACACTCCCATCGTATAGCTGGATTAGTGGAAGCAGGGCCCTATGAAAAAGGCTAAAGCACTTACCCAATTACCAGGCGGGTCATCACAGGGAATTGTGTGAAGAGTCACCCTTGAGATAAGTCAGGCATCCAGGTCCCACAGACATCATCCAGAAGCAGGAAGCTTTTCTAGGTAGTGAGGGAATTTCCATATTGACCAACCTAAGGACAGCTGCCTGGCTATGGTAGACTGCAGCGTCTACCATCCAGCAATGTCTTCCAACAGTGCATATTTAACAAGGCTGCTGTTTCATACATGTTTGTTCTTCAAAGCTCATACAAATTTCCCCAAAGGAAAAGGCATAAGGGAACTCCCATAACCGCATGTAGGAGTCACTAGAAATGAAAGTGAAAGGGTACTTGGAGAATTGTCATCCACAAAGTTGAAATGCTAGAACTTTGTCAATATACATTCAGGCAGGTGATGAATTTCTCCAGTTTTGTGATTAGAATCAACTGAGAAAAACGAACATTTGATTTTAACCATCTTTCAGCATTCAGCAACTGCAATGATCTGTATCTTGAATGTCTCTGCCAAGGCCTAGATGTTAAGCTGACATCTCAAGAGATACATTGGGAGTTTGTCTAGAATTAAGGGATGGGCCCTAGTGAAAGTTCTTTGGATCACCCTTGAAGGAGACACAGAACATCATGTCCTCCTTGTTTCTCATTAGGTCACTGCCCATTTGCTGAGCAGCTTGCGCCACTGAAGGTTCCCTCTGGTCCCCTCTGACAACCTCACCAAAGGCCTAAAAGCATTGTGCCCATGTGATCATGAATTGACTGCCTAAAACGTGAGTCATTTCATTTTTTTAAGTTAATTATATCTGGTATGCTGTTATAGTAATGGGAAATTACCTAACATAGCCACCATAGTAATGGTGTAGTGGCAACTATAGAAATTGCGGCTTTGTATAGAATAGTTATGGGCTGTCAGTCACAAGAATGTATTCATACACTGACCCTGTTGAATATCTCCTCCATGATCCATAGAGACCCATCATAAGCCTGTTATTGAAAGCACCCCTTAAAGGGACAGTGGACTTATTTGACTGTATCTGACTCTAGCTTGTGGGAATTGGTACATTTCTCAGTTATGGATTTATCTTTCTTACAGTAAAGTTTCAAGCAGCAGCTGTCCACTTATTTAAAGAGTATGTGATCTATTGACAGATGATGCCTCTTAAGATTGCTTCTGACAAGGAAATTCATTTTTCAGCCTAGGAGCTGTGACAGAGTGTTCCTAACAGGGAATGCACGAATCCTTTCAAATATTCTACCACCCAGGAACTGCTGTCCCCAATGTTACTGCCTAGGTGTCTTCGTTATACTGTTCTATCATTGTGAAGAGACACCATGACCATAGAAACTTTTATAAAGGTAAGAATTCAACTGAGGGCTTTCTCACAGATTTAAGTGGTTAGTCTGTGAGTCTCATGGCAAGAACCAGAGAGTCATGATTCTGGAACAATAGCCAAGAACTTTACATTCTGCTCATCAGGCATCAGAGAGGAAGAGAGACTCAGCACACTCCATCCAATAAGGCCATGCATATTCCAATAGGCCACACCTTCCCAAAATGGTTCGTCCAATGGGGACTAAATATGCAAATTTATGAGCCTATGGGAGTCATTCTCTTTCAAACCACTACACTAGCCAACAAAAGGCAGAATGGAGGCTCAGAGTGATGATGTATGATAATGGCACCCTGTAGGGGATTCAGGCCATTCCCTGTGCCACAAGATCCACTCTTGAGAATGAGTTGACACTCACTGTCTTTCATAGATGTGAATGAAACCAGTCACAGCGTTTGAAGGAACAGCGGGAATCAACAGTTCCCTCATGTCTGAGTAATGCATTTTTAAGGCTTTCCTAATTTGTCCTTCATTATCATATTAGAATATCTGTAACCTGGTGGATAATTGCAAAGTATAAATTACGAAGTTATTACCCAGGCATAACCCCGTCTTTCTCTCTACGTATTATCATGAAGATGGGGCTGCATTCTGGGTGAGGGAGTGTAGAAGGGGGAACCCCACCTGTACTCGATGGGATGCTATATGAAATTGGTTTCCAATTCTTTACCACAGTACCCAGTATGGTAGTTTGAATGAAATGTCTCCAATAGGCTCATATATTTGAAAGTCTGGTTCCCAGTTAGTGGAACTGTTGTGTAGAATTAAAGAAATGTGGCCTTGTTCAAGTTGCTATGGTCTTATTGGAAGAGATGTATTACTGGGTTTCAAAAGCCCATTCTAGGCTCAGTCTTGTTCTTTCTGCTTGCTACCTGTGGGTCAGAATGTATCTCTCTGCTATCACACCAGAGTGCTTCTGACCATGATGGTCATGGACTAGATCTATAAAATTGTAAAGAAGTCCCCAATTTAATGTTTCATATCATGTTGCCTTTAGGATGGTGTCTCCTAACAGAAATAGAACACAAACTAAAACATCAAATTTAGTGCAGAATAAGAATAAAAGAGTTTTCCTGCCTAGTGATTTATGCTGCTAATTCTTCTACTGGCAGTCAAAAAACCCCACTAGCTCAATGGCAGAAGGTATATATGGGCTTAAGACACAAGGTATATACAAAGGAATCTCCTCTTAACTACAACCTTCAGGCATCCATTTTCTGCTGTCAATTCATTTTCCTTGGCTCTCATCTCTATTGGGATATAAATGCTAATTACAAAAGAAGGAATACCATGGCAGAGAGAGACCCATTACATTTGGTAGAAATACTGTGTTAAGGTTGTTTTGTGCTCTTTGTGCCAAAGTATACAAAGAAAAATGTCAATGTTTAGTAAAGCAAGTTTGAATTAGTTCCCACTAAAAAGGGGGAGAAGTAAATAAATGTAAAAGCCAAAGGACACAGTTAGATCAGATTTTCTTTTCCTGGGAGATCTCTGCTCAAAACCCACACTCACACACAAGAGTACAAGCTAGCATAGATCAGAGGCTGAGGTATACATGATCATTGCAGAAGCTCAGAATATTCCAGAACAGCCTGTTTCAGGCAAAGGCCAATTTCATCATCATTTTTTTTTGTTTTTTGTTTGTTTATTTACTTGTTTTGCTTTGTTTTTTTTGTTTTTCAAGAGAGTGTCTCTGTGTAACCCTGGCTGTCCTGTAACTTACTCTGTATGCCTGGCTCGCCTGGAATTCAGAGATCTACTTTCCTCTGTCTCCCAGTGCTGTGATTAAAGGTGTGCACCACCACCTCCTAGCTCATCATCATTCTTTTAAGAGAGCAAATAGAGGTCAAAAGAAGGTATAAAAGAATGAATTACTCCGTTTCCAGCACAAATAAAGGTGACTATCATTATAGAAAGAATACCTTTGTTGACCTAGAAATATAGAATAATTTTTGCTCTAAATAATTCATTTATCTAATGTGGTCCATTTGCATAGCTGTCTAAAGAAATCTATAGAAAATGGGTTGTAGTTAGGATCATTTCTAATTTAGATAATGTGTGTGCCCTTGTGTAAATATTCTGAGGGTTAAAGTCAATAAGGAAAGTGAATCAGAATTCCATAATTGGACTTGAGATCCACATGCTGTATGTATACTCAGCAGCTGCAGCTTCTTTTAGCTTTTCCTCATCTAGAAACATCCTATCCATTTTTTTGGCTGAGTAATATAGGCATATTTTTGCTTCTGAGTCTTTACTGGCAGAGTCTCTGTCATGTGCTTATGCTTTATGTTTACATATTACTTTTCAGGAAATCATTGTTAATGTAATTTTATGATGGATAGTGTCTTAGTTGGGGGTTTCATAACTGCAGCAACTCTTATTAAGGAAAACATTTAATTGGGGCTGGCTTACAGTTTAAGAGATTTTTAGCTCATCATAGTCATGGTGGGTAACATGGAGACATGTAGACCAACATGGTGCTGGAGAAGGAATAGAAGGCTCTACATTTTGATCCTCACACAATAAAAAATAAACTGTGTACCACAGTGAGCTAGTGAGCGTAATTGGAGAAAGGAGACCTCAAAGCCCGCATCCACTGTGATACACTTCCTCCAACAAGAACACACATACTCCAACAAGGCTACACCTCATAATATATTCACTCTCTGTAGTTCAAACATTACAACATGATTACCATAGTGCCACTCTCTCCAGTCTATTGAAACACATGGGGTTCTTTCCTATTGAAACCACCACAAATAGTAAAACATTTAGAAACACATTAGTTTACTTTCTGTTGCTGTAATAAAATGTCCGAGGTTGCACTACTTATACCGGCATGGGACTGATCAAGACCGCCTGAATGTGAGTGTCAGTGAGGAGGCCTAGGTAATCTATTGTGTCTTGGGCAGCAGATCAGTACCCATCCCGAGTATACACATGGACTTTGGACTCCCATCCAACAATGTGAGGTGCACTCTCACCCTGAACTCTTGGGGAAGGGTCTAGGCCCTGCCCTATATGAAATGACAGACTATGGACACCCCCATGGAGGGCCTCACCCTCCCTGGGGGAATGAGGGGATAACGGGGGGTTGGGGGGACGGGAGGAGGGGAGGGAATGGGAGAGGGACCAGGAACTGACTTGTGAAGCAACCTTGTTTCTTATCTAAATTTATACTGAAAAAGAAAAAAAATACAAAAATAAAAAAATAAAGTCTGCATGATTAAGAAAAAAAAGAAAAAGAAAATTTGCTTCACATATTTGGAAGTTCAAGATCAAATTAGCATGGTGTAGGTTATGTGAAAGACATTTTCACTGTGCTACTGTATGGTAAATGATTTTATAGTGGAAGTGTTTAAGTGTGTGTGTTAAAGAGATGTGCCAAAACCATGAAACAAGATATTTAGGTGAAGAGTCAGTAATAACCTCCCATTATCCCCATTATTCATCACCTATCATTGATGCCACAGGGAAGAGAAATCTCCAATACAGAAGCCCGTGAGTGACAAAGCACTCTCAAATCACAGCAGATTATTAAGCAATAGGGTGATTGTCTTTTAGCTGGTCATCAATTTGCTTGCTCGAAATTTGCTTACATGCCACATTTCTTTAGAATACTATTCCTCATTTATATCATGCTCTCCAGTTTACAAAGAACTGTTTAACAAAAGTTATACCCTCGCAAAATATTCCATACTGTTTGAAAATGGAAATTGAATTTTCAAGTCATAGGTAGTTCTGGTATGTGTTCAAAGTACTTCAGTGATGAGTATGTGTTCAAAGTACTTCAGTGATGAGATTCATGTTTTATTGTGTGATGGCTCTTGTACATTAGCTTATTTTCCCCATATTATTTCAACTAGAAACATAGGAAGATGGTTATTAATTTTCTACTTAATATTAACGTTCCAGCCAAGTAGTATTGGGAAAATAAGTGCTCTTTCCTGAAAAAGTCTATCTCTTACTCTCCCAGCGTTCCTTTGTTGCCTAGAGTCCTTTGTTTAAGGTTAAAGACTCTTGGGCTTTCTCCAGTCCTCATTACCATGTTATCATTGCCATTCTTTGGCTCATGTTTAGGCAATGATGTTAGTGAGACTTCCTGGGTTTTGATTTTGACATACCTAGGAGGCACCATCACACAGCAAACTCCCTGATCCTCTTGCTTTTGCAATTTTCTACCCGTTACAGAAGCAGCAGTTGTTCTATATTAGTTGGGTTTGGGAGTCATAACTCTTCACTTTGGTTTTGGTTTTTCCACAATTGTCTCAGTTTGTTGCTAGGAGAAATTTCCTTGATGATGGTGAGTACTACCTTATATATATTTACTTAACTACAATTCGTGAAAAAAAGGACACCATGATCTTGAAAGAAATGATAGATGGGAGGGTTGAGAGGGAAAAAAGAGGGGGAAATGATGCAATTGTATTATAATCTCAAGAAACAAAGCAAGGAATTAAAATAAATTTTTAAAATTTAAATTCTGTAGTTTTAGTGTTAGACCAGTCAAATCTAAAAGTGCAATTTTAAAACTAAAAAAAAAACTTATTACAATGTCAAAGGATGATCTGTATTATTCACCATATTTCTTATTAGGAAATATGTCAAATTTACAGTAAGAATACTGTAAATCTCTACAGCACAAATGTAAATATATTGGAGCGATTTCTGAGAAAATTGCAGGGAAGTATTTTGTGAATGATGTGTCATATTTATATATGGAAACATGTCTAAGATGGGTAAGGTCTGCAGGATGTTGTACATAAAGATTTGAGAAGTTAAGATAAAAGAAAAGAAAGGAAGCAATGAAAACACACAGAATACCACAAAGGCAGAAAATCAAGCCACTCTGGGGTTTCAGAATCTGAAACCTGTGATACAGCATGATTTCAAGGAAAGGCTTTTGCCAATATCTTAATGCAATTTTGTTTCAACTCATATAGTTAAACATTATATTATTTTAAA